CTGGTTTGACTTTCGCCTTCACTTGCTTTCTTAGTGTTGCTACAAGCTTCACATTGACATCGGATTCCAACAAGGCGGTGGTGATCTCTTTCAGCAGTCCATCGAGGACCTGTTCATTGTCAGCATAGTACCACGGAACATTCAACACATTTCTTCAGACTTTTTCATCGATTACTGGCGCTCTATTGAGTTGTGAAAGAGCAGAATTTAGTTTCCTCCCAAGATCTGCTAAGACCATGTCGAGGTGGAGGTCGAGAGTGCACGTATGCCTTCTTCGCCACCTTCTCCTCTCGACCATATCCCTCGCTGCTCCTGCGGCTTGGGCTTCCTTGTCCTTCTTTGTACCCACCATTCCGCTCCAGATCATCGACTTGCCTATCTCTGTAGCAAAATTCACTTGTAACCTGTTCACTCTACTACATCAGTAGTCCCGAGTCCGATGTGCCATGACCGTTCGAGTTCTCGTCAGTGTCGGGCGTTGGCCACCTGTTCGTTTTCTTTTCTGGTTTTAGTTTTTTGTCCGGCCTCGCCCTACCCTCTTTAGTCCACTCCCGCCCGACGAGCACTGGACCGGCCGCTGTCCAGCCCCCGCATCCCGGCTACTAGGACTTAGCTCTTCTCTTGTATCTAGCGTGACTCAAGAAAGAAAGCATATAGTATTTCGTCCCATGCTACTAGCGAACACTGAGGTCGTCAGATCTACGGACATGAGCAGAAACTACTATGAAGGGCGCCATGCCCGCAATTCATATGCCATATCCTTGATATTTTGGTCGTAGTGTCTCCCCTCCAAGACCAGCAATTCCCACCAAGTAGCTGCAAACGGGTTGCATAGCTGGGGATCGTCCACCTCACTCCTGTATATGCCGTTCCCAATCCTCTCTTCTGTGGATAACATCGATTCCAGCTTTTTATCTCTTCCAATTAGATCTTTGATGAACTTGAGTATCCTTATCGTGACGTTTGGGCCACATTGGAGAGACAGGCTAAGTAATCGCTTCGAGAAAGCTGCCAGCAAGTACGATGGGATCTTTCCATAACTGGGTAGGAGAATTAAGTTGAGTGCACGGAAGACTAAGGTCTCTATGAGTGGAGACATTCCACCCCTTGTCTTTTCTTGACTGAACCCCTGATACTCTTCAGTGACAAGAGGTACCGCTAAATCCGGCAATAATTTGTAAAAGTGTGTTGTAAACTGGCTCAGGTCAAGGTTCAACGCTTCTCCTGTTTGTAGACAATGAGCAACAATCTCAAAACAGGCCAACATTTCTCACCTTGACCCAATAAAAGCTCAAATGCGGTTACTATGCATTGTAATTGTATTCCGATACTCTCCTGAAAGTCAACAGACCTTTGGTCGATGGGTTGATCTTCTCGAAGTGTTATCGTATGCAAAACAACCAAAAGGTCGCGGAAGAAGTCCACGTTTACTCGATGAGCGAACCGAGTTACACCTTGAAGTGCTGCGGGGAGTAATGGGGATGCTGTTTCCTGTTTGAGGACGCTGAAATATAACACAAAAACCAGCTTCAGGGTTTCTGTTTGCTGTAATAGAGTTAGACGTTTACAGTGTCATTCTTCGTCCTTACTTGGTTGGCTTTCTCTTCCTTGTCCACTTCTGCTTCTGCTTCCTCCATCTCAGCCTGAATTTCCTTCATTTCCTTTAACGCCTTCTTAGCCTTTTTTGTTAAATGGGGTTTCTCTTTCATTTTCGCCTTTCCTTTTAACTTCTTGTTCTTCGTGTCCTGGCGATCCTGTTTGTCTGCATGGCTTTCAGAAGCCCGAATATTTCCGAGCTCTGACCTCAGGCGTAAGTGTGACAAACAGGAAAGTACTTTTGGGTGAACGTTATAGTCCTTTTCTTTGATCATCCGGTTGAGGAGTCGAACGGCCTCCAGGGACGGCACTCCTGTAATATCATATTTGAAAATGTGAACAAATGTTTCTAAGCATAGGTCACTAGACTGAGCAAGACGGTAAGATTTTAAGTAAACCTATTAAATATTTCGTACCTCGTCCCAGGTCATGCGACTCAGTCGGGCCACAAGAGTGCTCATTATGTTCGTGCGGAAGTTGAAATGCGTTAGATTGCGAACTAAGTTGCACATACACTGTAAGCACGTATTTGCTAATTCCGTCTTTTCTGTGTATCCCGTGAGTGCCTGCACACACATTGACTGATGGCACTTACTGCGTATCTCTTCATCAAGCATTTGAAGATAGGATTGGTAAACGGCTACTAGTCCTTGTTCCCAGTCTCGTGTCTGGCCAACCATCTGGCTTACTTTCTCCGATAATTCCTTCTCTGTCAGCTTTCGTATTCGGTATCCAGGGACAATATCCTTGAATACTGCCATTAAGGATAGTATAGCTAGATGTCTGATAGTGGTGTCATTCGATATTTTGATAGAACCAGCTTCGTCCTCCACGTTCACGGTGACGGCGCAGAATGCCAACAGCCTTCTAAGCAATCCGAGCTAAACTCAATAAAGTCAGTAAAAAGCATCTAATACCGAGAATACTTACTCCATTCTCGGGTTCACTTAATATTTCTTGACAGATACTGGCAATTTGCTCTCTTGCAGCTTGTAGTCGTTCCTTTCTTGAAGCAAGGCGGACTATATCGGCAACAGCGGCTCTTCCGAATCTAGCACCCGCGATATTACTTCGTGGGACCTCCATAATGGGGTGTTCTACCGTTGTTTCTTCCTCTTCTTCCGTCCCATTGGGGATAGAGGACACCCGAACGCCAACGGGTAAAATCTGCCCACCCGGTAACTTGATAGGTAGTCTTGACACTGTTCTACTAGAAGACCCTTTTTCCGTTGGACCATCCTTTGTTCGGCGGGGTTGACGTTCATAGGGTTGTTCCTGTTCCGAATCGTCCGAAGAGATGCTAGTAGCATTGGTACTGCCAATATCAACATCTATGTTTTCTTCTGCCTCAGATGACTCGACTTCCGAACCACTTGAAATAGAACCCAAGCTACTGTCTATTTCACTCGTAGGGGGTTCGGAAGGAGCAAGCGGTCCATTCTGTGCTCGTTTGTAAGGTGCTTTATGGAGTTGAAAGAGCCTTTCGGTCTCCTTTTTGCTCCTACAAGTTCACAGAGTCAATGTGACCGACCCTTTTAAACGATAACTACATGCCTTGAAATAGCAGACTGATCCAAATGTTGTAAAAACCTGCCGGCCTGTTCGTTCTTTTCAAAGAAGTCGACATCACTCTCTGAGATATCTGAATGCTCTGGTGCTGTAGGAATAGGGATGATTGGTCGTTCGAATGCCTTCTTCTTCTTGCTCGCTGAAGGTTTGTTTGATTCTGTTCTAGGCCGTTTATTAGGCTATTCGAGTCAGATATGCGTTCAAAAGAAGAATTATTGATCACCTTGACGGGTTGAGGTGCAGTTCGCTTTTTTCCTTTGGATGAAGGTGGCATTGGCTGATTCAAAACTCTACTTTAGCCACTCGACTGCATTTACGCCGCATGGCCGGTAGGCCAAGCAATACAACATCTCCGGAAAGGGTGAAACAAACCGCTATCGACTCTTTCAACTCCTACCAGTCTTTTATTTTGACGCCCCAAGACCTATGCTGGGTCGCGTTGGTCGTAGGGATCCTGGCACACTCCGATAAATATCCAGCAGAGTCTGTATATAAAGTACTCCAGATTCTCTTGAGAGAAGCACAAAATGTAAGAGCTAAGAATCGAGTGTCGTTCTATCATAAGTCATGGACTGACCTCTGACAGGTCCGGCCCGCCTCTTGGAAGGACATAATACAAGGGGTGGACACGACAAAGAATGCAATGGGGGATGAAAATGAAGCAGATATGAGATCAAACTTGTCCCAATATGTGAGGATGTTCTGCCTCAGAATGGAATATACTCATGCAAGACTAGATTACGAACATGAGAGATCCAGTCCAACTTCATCAAAACATGACAGGTGAATGCAAATAGTTGGGTTCTTGTCATGATCTCACAGAGTTTCGACAGAGGACTGCTTGCGAGCAATTGCACCTGGTGTTGTTAGGGTAAGGAACCATATTTTCATATGATTCAGGGTTACAGAAGTTCAATATAATGGGAAGCCAGGCCATGGGATCGCCGTGGTTAGTCCATCTGCAATTGCTGGTCGATTAGCACTGACCCTAATAAAGCACAAGAAGTCGTTTCTAGGAATACGACTGAGGCGTTGTAGATTGGCATATCTCAAGCTCTCTGAGGCGGCACTTCAGCGTTTACATCGGAGTTTTGTGCGATGGCTCGATGGTGTTCCCGATGGAAACGACTTCAGTAACGACATCGTGGAAAGACGTGAGTTCGCATATTTAGATCCCAACTATCTACTGAAAGAAAGAAAAGCTGGGTATACACTTGTTAGAACCAGCATAGACGATTCCAGCCATCCCATCACAGATGCGTATGAAAGGTCAGTCTCCTATTTAGACGTCGCACGGTTTCCTACCTCATATCACTCTAGATTTGAATTTGAACAGCATACTGGAAATATCTCAGGGGCCGTAGAAAACCTTCGAAGGTATTTTGACCAACGATTCCACAATGGACGACAACCACCCAGGCAGCATGCACTGAATGCTCTTGCACACCATCACTTTGCGACAGGAGACGTTGAGGCGGCTCGCCTAGTATGTCGGTACTCGTCGTTACCCAGCCTTCCTAACAATGTTCGTAGATAGGGGCTGAAGCAATAGATATTGCACGCATTGTCAGTGATAGGTTAACTCTAATCAATGCTACTAGGTATATACCAGGTCAATCACATCGTCATCAATCATGACACGACCTTTATAGCTTAATGCATCGTTTACCACCCAAAGCTCCGCCCATCTTCTACGATGACACGGATGGTCGCCGGGCACGTAAAGCGATGGAGGAGCGAGAAAAAGTTGACTCGAAATTGGATATCAAAGTTCCAGGGAAATATTCCGTAATTCAAATCGGAACATCACCTCTTGACATGCTTTTTGATGTTCGGCTGGGAGTCAGGTCTGTAAGTATTGATATTCACGGTTGCTGTGAGCCTATTCACTAACATATTTAAGGGAGAGCCAGTTTCGCTTCTATTTAGGAAGCGATTTGAAGCTACGGGGTGTTTGGATGTTTCCCCAAGCTTGCCTCTCGCACCTTTGAATACACAGTGGCAAATTTGGGCCATGGATGCATTATTGTGGCGATTGAGCGGTAAGATATATCACAATCTCATTACCTATTCACTAAATATTTGTCCTGTAGGTATTTCGAAAATAGCTGATATTGGGGACAAAATCGTTTTGTCGAATACGCGGAAAGGTGAAGACATTAGACTATACAGCATATGCACCAGAGCAAGGCGTTTGTTTCAAAAAGCGCAATACATGGCTGCGTTCGGGTTGTTATTGTCCTGTGATACGTGGAGCAGAATGAATATGGCCCAATACTCCTACTGGTCTTGCGAGATTTGGCACCTGATGTGGGACATTGCAACCAGAAGGTAAGCTAATATGATAAATGTCTCATTTGATACTGATGGTTTGATTTACAGAGGTCAAGAGAAGTTTAAGCGTGAATACTTGGCATCTCGCAAGCCCTCCTTTTCTCAAGCGGATGGCTGGTTACCTGGTGATAGATCCACCGAATCCATTAGAAAAATGATATTAAATGCATCTAATG